TGACATCATCGCCAAAATTTTAACACCGGATGTAGTCAGCGATGCACAGGAACAAAGCGCCTTCCGCGATATACAAAATATATACACGGCTGATTGAAGAGGTGGGCAAACGACCAGTTTTCCGTCCCTGACTTTCAGCGGTGACTCCAATATTCGAAAGAACTGTACTCGTCAGCGCTGCTGTTGTTCCCTACACAGGGTTGTCACTTACTCGGCTGTTCGGAGCTACTCCCATCTGCCACTGCAACACCGTGGGGATGAGAAAATGTTGTAGGGATGCGCAGGCAACATGACGAATGCATCGATCCCCTGCATCCGCGAGACGAATCTCAGGAATACCACGCCCTACACAAGACCCTCCGCCGTTTCGACGCATTCGAAACCACAGGGGAACTGTTTCCAGCCTCCACGCGAGCAACCTGAAGGTGTCCGTCCAAGCGTCCGTGTCCAGAGGTCATCTGGCTGTTTTCTCTTCCCAGACCTCCGAAGACGAAGATGGCGGCAGTGGTGGTAAGGCTTTGGGACTGGCCTCGGGTGGTGGCGGGTTGGCCTGGCAAGACGGTGCTCTTCAAGATGTCAGGCTCGGCGGCACGACGACTCTAGAGGGAAACTTGGACCTGGGAGGCCACCGTCTGCTAAACTTCGACTATGAGACTCCGGACCTTGAGCACGTCGACGTGAGCCGTCGTTGTTGCCGTTCCGATGCCGATATTGCCGTGGGTTGCTGCTCTAATACTGTTGTTGTAGTCGGTGATGTCGCGAAAGTGCTTCCACTGTATACGGGACTCTTTCTTCCGCGCCCTCTATCCTACTTGCGCGCTCCACGATCTTGAAGTCTCGGGTATGGGCTGTGAAGGAGATATATCGTGAACATGGTCGGACAATACAGCAATAGAAGGAAACCCATGTTCAGCCGCATGACCATCCTCTTCCAGTTTTCTTCCCCCCCCCCCCGCCCCCGGTGTTTGCCATCGGGATTGGGTTTTCGTCGCTTGGCAACGACGTTGTAAAACAAGCCAAGTCACTTCTTGAACTCGGCAACCAGGTTACCGGTTATTTTTTTTTTTTTGTTTTTATTTTGGCGGTAACCATAATGGTGGTCGAGTAGATCATGTTGTGCGGGGTGGAGAACCCTCACTCCGCGCAAGGGGGATGATCGCACCACGTTGTGTTAAAATGGTCAAGCACCCTCGAGGCTATTACGCAGTGCTTACAACTGTCTCTGGAAGTGAAAGCACCACAAA